GTCCCCTCCACAGGTGAGATTCTCACCAGGCCTTGGTTTCCAGCAGTTGATATAAGCAGTTACAGAGTTTACAGAGCAAGCATTCAATGTTCCCATGCACAAATGGTTATCAGTGGCATACGTGCACTGAGCCTCCTGGCTATCGTCCCAGCCTGGAAGTTGTGTACATGCATCGTTTTCCCTGGTTATCATCCCAGCCCAGCACAGATGGCCAGTCTGCCCCAGGCCGCAATGCCCAAAGGACCTTGAAATTTTTACAAATTGCAACCAGCTCTGTGGGAGAAAGGCCAGTTCCCACCACACAGAAAACAGCTTTATATTTCTTTGTGTGCTGGTGGCTGTAGGTTAATGGGATGGCCAAACATGGCTGCACTCACATCAAGACAGAAGCCACAGTGAAGCTTTTTGGGTACCGTGGCTTCTGTGAGGAGGGCAACCCACTGAGGGAGAGGTCTCCTCACTCCTCAGCCTCTACCTTGTATGATTACCAATTATCTTAGTCACTCCCTCTGGGTGTGTCAGCATAGGGAATCAAATGGTACCCAGTGGATCCAATTGTACATCCCAGAAGATACAGCCCTTAAGACTAAATGGAGGTAGCCAGGAAGGCAGATGCCTTCAAGGTCCTCTCACAATTTATGTTGGAATACCATGGCAGCACACACAGACACAGCAGAAAGAAATGGCAGCCAGAGCACAAGTGAGCCAGCAGCCAGCTGTGCCTTCCCAGGCATTGTAGGCTGTTTAATGAATCCAGTTAGGAAGCCAAGAGCAATCAAGAGGCATGCTTCTCTGTTGAGCACTGTCGGTCACCCTGCTCTCTAGGTCAGTTGTCTCAGTTATACCCAAGGGGTTTTAATTTATAGAGGGGACTGAATGGCAATGTGGAGAGGTTAATGCCTCTGTAAGAAGTTTATATTATTTAGTTTCCAAGTGCAGGGGCACCCCGTGCCACACATGGCCATATGGGGAAGCAACAGTGTTGGTCAGAAGGCAGAAAGGAGTGAGGAGAGAACATGGGCACAAGCCTTTGTTGGGGTTTCCTTGAGAAAGGCAAGGCAGGGCAGAGTAAACCATTTAGGATTGGCTAGTCTAAAAAATTCTGTTGGGCTTGTGGCATAGGGGTGGTCCCTAATAGTCTGGTACCTGGCCCTGGGTTGATTTAGGGCAGGGGAAATACTGGCTTGGTGTGTGAGTTAGATTAAGGAAGTGGTTGGGAGTTTGGCTTTGGATTGGTTTGCGTATGAAAGGCTTGCTCTTGGACAAGCTGTTTACTAGACTGAGGAATTAGCTAGCCCTAGAGGTGCAGTCTCTTCCAGGTCTGTAGGGCTCTGTAGACGGTAACATTATAAAATATACAGAAAATAAAAGTAACATGGGGGCTGGCCTGGTGGCGTAGCGGTTAAGTGCACGTGCTCCACTGCTGGTGGCCTGGATTCGGATCCTGGGCGCACACTGAGGCACTGCTTGTCAAGCCATGCTGTGGCGGTGTCCCATATAAAGTGGAGGAAGATGGGCACAGATGTTAGCCCAGGGCCAGTCTTCCTCAGCAAAAAGAGGAGGATTGGCATGGATGTTAGCTCAGAGCTGATCTTCCTCACAAAAAATAAAATAAAATAACATGATTAATACAGATGTAGAGGTACCTCTCACACATGATAAATCCAGCCAAAATTCTTAGCCCTAAGCCTTTCAGTTCTATTTTGTACATCATCTTGTACTAACTGTGGCATCTCAGCCTCATTCACTGAGAGGCCACCATTGAATCCAAGGCCTGTCAACTGAACAAGTAGGCTGTTAGAGTCACCTCCAGCTGCACAAGTTAGCACAGTAAAGCCAGAATCTCTAGTAACTGCACCATATTGATGAATTTATTCCAGTCTCTCCTATATTCCACCATCCTTGGTTAAACAGCCTGAGAACCCATACCCACACTTGCTCCCCAGTTTCCCATAATATATCCTAGCAAAGTATGACAATCCTTCTGGTGTGTCCATGATTGCCTCCTCTTTCCCTGGATGATGCTGCGAGTTGATACTACTTACAGGTTGTGGTGGTAAGTCCTGTGGAGAAATGGCATTCTTTTACAGGCTTCTGCCCCAGGTAATATTAGCAGAGGCAGGCTAGTCTCCTCAGACACCTTGTAAGAGAGACTCAGAGTAGCTTAAGGGTTCTAGATGACCGTTTCTTCTGCACCAACCAGATGTCCCCCATTCCAAGATTCAGAATCCCTCTTTATCAATCAATGCCCTATCTTTCACGTGAGAAACCTTGTGCGAGTGGGTATTCAACTGTCGCTGTAATTCAGCAAGCCGTGGGTTGAATGTTTTGGTTTTCAGCTACATGAGCCCGGCAGCTACAGAATTCAGAGCTTCTTTGAGGGGTATTGTGGAAATTTTGTTTCTCATGGTGGGACTTGAGCTGAGAGATAATGATCTTGAACTTACCATTTTCTCTTTGTAAGCAAAAACGTGAACTCAAAAGAATCCTTCCCAGATCTCACTCCTTGTAGTCACCATCACTGCCTCAATACTCATTGCAGTGTCCACTTGGTCTCAAGGCATGTGCTGCAGTTGCCCCTTCATCATAATCAACCCCAGGTCATAGATGAATTATGATGCACTGCATACCATGGGTCAGTAGCATCCCATTTCCCATTGGTTAGTTGTTCAGTACTTCATTCAAACCCCAGGACATGGCTAAACCGATCCCCAGATCCCATTCTTATGGGTTGATCTACTAGGACTACTGCCAGAAACAATTCCTGATCAGTTAGAGTCTAATCAGGAGAAAGAAACTCTGTAGTAATTTGAATAGAGAAAGTGTAATAACAGAATTATTAACTAAAACATTGAAGTATAGAAGTATTGCTTAGTTATAAGTAAGGAGAACTCTAAAAACACTGGAATAATTATATATATACACATATATAATATATATACACACACACATTACCTCAAAAACGTTGACTAAAAATTGCACACTAAATGGTACAAAAAATATGTGAATATTTGACTAAAGGACTTGCATATAAAAGAAATCATAGAAATCAATATGAAAAGGACAAAAAAATCAAATAGGCAACATATATGAACAGAATCTTTTCTTTTTAAATTATTTATTCACTTTGTTTTGTTTACCCATAATTTTTTTTTTTTTTTTTGGTGAGGAACATCAGCCCTGAGCTAAAATCCATGTCAATCCTCCTCTTTTTGCTGAGGAAGACTGGCCCTGGGCTAACATCCGTGCCCATCTTCCTCGGCTTTATATGGGACGCCGCCACAGCGTGGCTTGACAAGCGGCGGTGCGTTGGTGCGCGCCTGGGATCCGAACCCCAGGCCGCCAGCAGCGGAGCGCGCGCACTTAACTGCTATGCCATGGGGCCGGCCCCTGAGCAGAATCTTTATTAAAGAATGTATATCAGTGGTCATCAGGCCTAGAAAAGTTGTTTAACATGAGTCATTATGAGTTTTAATTTAAACTGCCATGAGAAATCACTGCAGATCCACTAGGATGAAACTGATGAAAAAGAATCACAATACAAGATTGGCCTCAGTTTAACTCGACCTCTTCTCAGACTTCAGTATCTCCTGATAAAAATCATCTGAGGTCTTCACGTTTTTCACCCTCCACTGATGTGTCCCAGGAGCTATTGCTACCAGTCTCTTTGAATAACTACATAATCATTATTAATAGCTCTTTGTAATTTGCATTTCACAATTTCTTTTCTGAGATATCATCAATTCCTCATGCACAACAGTTCTGGCAATCACTGGAATAGTGACAATCCCTTCCCAGCAAGAAGATGAGATGATGGTGTTCCAATGCTCACTTTGCACACGTGCTCTGCCTGAGAACACTGTAGCCACTATCTCATATCAAAACAGAATTTAATAAGTTGCCCTCAGTTTGAGATAGATGTCAGACTCATAAAGGAATTGAATATATCTTCGGATATTGAGTAAGAAATATTAAATAGATAAGGAGTGTTGCTGTATGATTTGGACACAATCACTGAGTATACAGGCAGGAGAGATGTTCTCTGTGGGAACCAGAGGCAGAGATATCTCCTTGTCCTCCTACTTCAGGGCGGCCTAAACGTCCCTCCTTATCTTCCAAGTCATGGCTCTGACTGAACATACAGAGTTAAATCCACTAATGCTTCTGACGACATGCATTTGAATAGCAAGAAAATGTTTATCACACTCCAGCTAAGAGTAGATGCATTTTGTATTGAAAGAGAAATGTGTCCATTTGGATTTGTAGCCTTTAGGAATAATTGAAATAATATTTTTAGCCTCTGGGAGCATTCTGAGCTTCCGGGAGTCTGAAATAACGTCTCTATACACTGGGGTGATCAGTAGCAGGCAACAGTACCTGAAATCTGGAAGCCGCTCCTTTAAGAAGGAGCAAGCGGGCGAGAGGGGGCGGGGGCCAGCCCCGTGGCGAGTGGTTCAAGTTCTGTCCCGTGGCCTGGGTTTGAGGGTTCGTATCCTGGGCACGGACCTACTCCACTCATCAGCCATGCTGTGGAGGTATCCTACATACAAGATAGAGGGAGATTGGCACAGATGTTAGCTCAGGGCTAATCTTCGTCACCGAAAAAAAAAAAGGAGTAAGCGCGTTTCTTTCCCCTGAAGGTTCGAGTTGCCATTTTCTAGCTCCACCTGCACACCTGCGGTGTGGCCAAACTTTGGCACAGGTCAAAGACTGAAGTAATCGCCTGAGAACCTGAGGAAACTACATTACCCAAAGGGCTATGCGCCCAAAAGTGGCGGAGTTGAGCCAATGAGAATCCACGATAGGGGAATTTCCGTGCGTGCGTGTTGGGTCTGGGCGGGACTGCTGATGGCGTCTTCGTGGCGGTCATTTTGGCTTCCTTGGAGTCCGTTCGCCCGGTCTGGGGCTCCGAAGGGCTGAGTCGCTACCGAGAAGGCGCTAAGGACGTTGTGCCCGCTGCACAGAGGCTGGTCTGAGGCTTAACAGCGGCGCAGCCCGGGTGACCACGCACCAGGCCGGGATTGGCAGCTCCGCCCCCAGAATCCGATGGCGGCGGCCGCGCGGAGGGAGCCGGCTCAGGTCAGTGCTCGTGCTCCGCGCCCTCCCCGCCCTCAGCCCAGCCCAGCCCTAGAGCCCCGAGTGCGGGCGCCGCTCACGGGCCTGCAGCCCAGGCCCCGGTGTCCGGGACGGGGAGGCGCTTGTGGGGCCTGTTTCTGAGAGCCGGGGTGACGGTTGTGGGAGAGGGTCCCAGGCGGAGGGACCGGCGGGGGAGAGGCGTGGAGGGCGACTGAGCCCGGAGGGTTGGGGAAGCCCGGGCTCTGTTTTGTGTCTACAGGCGGCAGAGAATATGAGGCGAAGTTGTGCCTGAGGAGTTTTACCTTCATTCTCAGGGCGCTGGGAGCCACGGAGGGCTGTGAACAAAAGAGGGCCACTGCCTGAGATAGGGTTCTGACGGTTTTCCAGAAGTTGCTCAGGGGAAGCACAGATGGGAGAAGAGATGCTAATAGTTAGGCACACGAAGGTTGAGTCCTGTAGAGGATTGCATGACTGGAAGAGTGCACTGAGGACTGAGGCCAGAGGGAATGCAGTTCTCTCGAGGTCACCTGGCTCCTGGGCTGGGCAGCGGTACTTAGCAGCCTGAGCCTGTGGGATCCTGGCCGTGGTTGCCAGACTCTCAGGCGACCTTCCTCTTTCCCCAGATTTCCTGGAACTGCAGAATGGTGTAGGGATACTGGTGTGTGCCCCTTGTTGCAGGTCCACCCTAGTTCTCACCCACCTCACCCCTAATGGTCTCTGGGATAACGGTGTTCTGGAACTGTTCTGCCACTCTTCCATCACTTGGGCCTGAGGACCCTGAACAGGCACCAAACCTAGGGTGGTAAGTTCTGGCTCCAGGGTTCTTTGGAGTGGTTCCTATTTTTGACAGTCCGTGAAATGAGGTGTGGAAGGTCGTCCCCAGCATAGGTACTAGAAGGTGCAAAGGCTTGGAGGGGAGGCTGAACTGGTTCAGGGACCTACAGGTATCCTACTTTCTCATGGGAACTGGGAGCAGTAGAGTAGGAGTGAGCTCTGGAACACCTTTGTGAAAAGTTGGGTGTCTCTTCTGGAAGTGATGGGAGCAATGGGAGATATGGAGCAGTGAAGTCAGGTGATCTGACCCTGGTCTCATCAGGCTCCCTGTGGCTGTAGCATGAACAGTATTGGTGCCAGGTGGGCGGTAGGAAGATCAGGGAGGGAGGTTACTGCCATAGTCTGGGTGAGTGTGATGGTAGTTGGAACAGGGTGGTGGTGGGGGTGTGGGTGATGTGGTTGGATTCTGGATCGGTATCTCGGGTATGGCTGCCGGGGTTCTCTAATTTTGAGGTTGAGAGAAAGAGAGGAGTCAGGGATAACCTGAAGGTTTGGTTTTAGTAGCTGGAAGGATGGAAGCTGCATCAACTGAAGTGGGGAAGTCCATTGTAAGTAATCTTTATTGGGAATATCAGAAGTTCTGTTTATGGCCTGTTAAGGGTACAAGATGTTTCAGAGAATGGTTTGTGGGCGTCTTGAACTCTGAGGAGAAATTCATGATGGAGACTTCTCCAAAAGGTAGTGGAGAGTGTGTGGACCACAGTGGAGCTGTAGGTCACTTTAATATGGGGGATCCTGGTCAGGATGATAATAGTAATAGTAGGCCAGGAAGAAGAGGGTAGGTAAACTTGGGCCCCTGGTTTTTGGAGGTGGCTGTCACAACACAGGTTAAGAAGAGAGTGGTCATGGAGAGGGTTGGGGAGAGAGTATGGTTTGGCACGTAGGCAACACCTTCTAGGAATGAGGACGTGAGATGGATGCGGAGGTATAGGAGGAATTCAAATAAGATGACACTGAGGCTGGGGCTGGTGCTTATTCACTGCTCTGCATACTCACCAGGATCTTTTTGTGATCCTTGGTAGAGGGCCACTGGAGCTGGGCCTTGAATGAGGATTGGGTGGAGGGTGGAAAGCCGTAACTGGTAAGGGGACAACCAACTGGAAAAGGGCCCTTGGTATCTGAGATCTGATATGGTTCTTGGTAGGTGAGGTTGAAGCAAGGAACAGTCAGAGAGAGAGGCCTTCATAGGAGGACTCAAGGCTGCCTCTCTCAGTGGAGACCATCAATATCTGGGGTAGTACTTGATCCTGTTTGAATTTACCAAGCATTCTCTGGACCACATATGCTAAATAATGAGTGGAGAGGTCAAGGAGATGACAGTGGTGAAGGGCAGGAGGTGGCTGTGGCTGTGGGAGTGCAGTTGTGAGAGAGAGGTGTGATAGAAAGAATGAGGTGCACATGGAGAGGGAGTGTGAGCTTATGGTGCCAGGGTCCCGGTATTGGCATGAGAATGAAGAGTGAGCCCAAGTTTGGTGAGTCTGGGAGAAATGAACAATCTGTGGACCCTCAGGGGACTTGCCTGAAAAGAGGGAGTGTTGGGGCCTTACAGGCCAGGTCTAGAGTTTAAATGCCATCTGTCTGCCTCCCTGCCTACCTGTTGTTGAGGGCTGACACAATGATCAATAGGATCATGATGAGACAGTGGGCGTCAGTGCCACCTGGGCTTGGAAATCTTCACTGATGTGGGGAATGGAGGAGGGTGGGCAGGGGATAGATTAGGGAGGTGGTGATGTTAGAATCCTAGGAAATAAGGTGATCATGAAACAAACTGTCCCCAATATGACAGGGGTGTGTGACCTGTGAAGTTGTGCCTGTGGGAATGCAGCTATGAGATTTGTAGTTCAAAGAAGGATGTGCATGTAAAGACGTAGTGTGAGCTGATATGCCCAAGTCCTTGGAATTGGAGTCATAGGGTGAAGGGTGATGTTGTGTTCTTTGTGTCTTTGGAGGGACAATCAGGGAGGCCTCAGAGGTAGTGCCTGACAAGACCAGTGTCAGATCATTCATACCTTCCCTATGGTCAGCTTCTCTCCCTAGCCTATGTTTGTGACACCTACCACATTGACAAGAGGCAATGTGGCCTACATGCCAGGCCCAGAGCTCAGATATCATCAAGCTGCCCATCTGCCTGTTGTTGCTGTGGGAGGACACAGTATCAATGAGAATATAAGGAGAGAGTGGCTCCAATGGCACTGAGGCCTGGTATCTCCTCTGAGGTGGGGAGTACAGTGAGCAGAGGATGGATATGGAGGGTGGGGGATATGGTGAACTAGGAATCCTAGGAGAGAAGCTGATCATGGAATGAACTGTCCCCCTTATGACAGGGTATGAACTTTGAGGATGTGGCCGTTGACTTCTCCCAGGAGGAGTGGAGCCTCCTCGATGAGGCTCAGAGATTCCTGTTCTGTGATGTGATGCTGGAGAACTTTGATCTTGTAGCATCCCTGGGTAAGACCTTTACATCCCTCCTAGTGTCCTGGGTGATGTCCTGCCTTTCCTTTCTTTGCCAGAGTTAGCTCTGTCTTTCCCACAGCTGGACCATGAGCTCTGCTAATTTTTTCCACTTTTTTGTCATATCTGCTGTGGGTGCCAGGGCTGAGCTGTGTGTCATGCCCCGAGCAGTGAATTCCCCAAGCAGCCCCCAACACCTGTTGTCTCAAATAGTGCAGGGAAGAGTCTGGGAGTCAGGAGTGTTGCAGTCAACCTAATAGATTCCATCTTGCTTGCCCTCTCCCTGGCAGGGTGACTATATCTAGATCCATTGCCTCCAGTTTGTCCCATTCCTCTAGCTAAGAGTTCTTTGTGACTACCTGTGCCAGGTCATGGTCATTACTGCCATGAACCGTGGGCTATTCTTGTAAGACCCTCCTTCAGTTGTTTTTATGTAATATTCTTTTTCCTGCATCCTATTGTATGGAAAATGGCTTTGAGCCAGTGCTGGCCACTCACATATGTTGAGTTTCATTAAGACTTGCGTTATTTGTTTTCTGACTAGTTCCACAATGGAGGGTGCAGGGAGAACCCTGGTGGTTTCACAGGGTGGATATTACCAGATGGTCACAGAGGAAGCCTGGCCCTGGTGAGGGGCAACTGGGGGAGGACATGACATCAGGGCTGTGGTAAGATCATACCAGGAGCCTACCATGTGTCCAATAGTGTTTTGATGCAAGTGCCACTGGCCACGGTCATTTCTACCTCTTCTTCCCCGTACTTGACACTTTGCTCACTTGTCGTTTCCTCTGTGACTTCTGGTTCCTGGATACCTTCACCTTTGTGGCCTCCGTGGATCACCTGCTCCTCTGCAATATTTGCCAACACTGACCTGCACATGGGTCATGAGGGTTGGACATATCCTTAAATAGTCCTTGAACACCATCTACACTAATTGAATTTTATTGTGAAGGACACAGCTAACCTTCCACAGCATGTGCATGTCACCAGCAGACCAAGTCCTCCTGATGGCTTTTGGCAGAGGAGTGATTTGGAGACTCTGCCTCTCCTCCATGTGGTGTACCTGATCTTTGTGTCTTTTGTCTGGTGAGATCTCCCCTATTCTGTGGTCTTCAGAGACCCAGTACTGCTAAGCAACACTTCCTCAACCTGCCCCCAAGTCCCTTGTTTTCAGAACAATCTCTTGGACCCAACTTATTGTGTCTGACATACCTTTGTAATGGGGCTTCCCCCACCTACCAAAGTTAACTTGCATTTTCTCAACATTTCTCTGCTTTCAGGTTGTTGGCATGGAACAGAAGATGTGGACGCCCCTTCTGAGCAGAGTGTACCTGTAGAAGGAAAGTCACTGGTCAGGGCTTCTAAGGCAGATCCATCCACCAAGAAGACCCACTCCTGTGAGATGTGTATCCTAGTCTTGAAAGATATTTTGCACCAAGCTGAGCACCAAACAATATACCCTTTGCAGAAATCATACTTGAGTGGCACATGGGTGAGATGCCTCTGTTTCAGTACAAATCTTCACCAGCATCAGAAGCATGGCAGTAGAGAGAAGCCCTGGAAAAGAGATGTGACCAGGGCGTCGTTTGTGACAAGCTCTAACTTTTATGTGTTAGGAGAGCCTTTCACCTGTAGGGAGGTTAGGGTGGACTTCCTGGCCACCTCAAGCCCTCTCCAACACCAGGACACTCCCAACAGTGAGGAGCCACACAATGGCAATAAGAGTGGGCAGGCCTTTCCCAGTGGAAAAAGTCATTGGAAGTGGGGTAAATATGAGAAAGCTTCCAGCCACAATGACACACTTGTTCAACATGAGAATGTCTGCTCTGGAGAAGAGCTTTGTGAGTGTAACAAATGTGGGAAAGCTTTCAGCTGCAACTACAGATTTGTTCAGCACCAGCAAATTCACAATGGACAAAGGCCATATGAGTGTAGTGTATGTGGGAAATTGTTTAGCGAAATCTCTGGCCTGATTAAACACCGGAGAATTCACACTAGAGAAAGGACTTATGAATGCAGTGAATGTGGAAAAGTCTTTATCCACAAATCCAAACTGATTCACCACCAGAGACAGCATGCTGGAGGAAAGCGTTATGAGTGTGGTGAATGTGGGAAATCCTTTAGCTACAAATCTCACCTCATTGAACACTGGAGAGTTCACACTAGAGAAAGACCCTATGAGTGTAGTGAATGTGGCAAATCTTTTAGCCAAAAATCTAACCTCCTTAGACATCAGAGAATTCACAGTAGAGAAAGAGGTTATGAGTGCAGTGAATGTGGGAAGTCCTTCAGACAAAACTCTGGCCTTTCCCAACACCGGAGAATTCACACTAGAGAAAGACTTTATGAGTGCAGTGAATGTGGGAAATCCTTTACCCGCAAACATGGCCTTACTCAACACCAGAGAATTCATACTGGCAGAAGTCCTTATGAGTGCAGTGAATGTGGGAAACCTTTTAGCTACAAATCGTACCTCATTCAACATCAGAGAGTTCATACTGGAAAAAGACCTTATGAGTGTAGTGAATGTGGCAAATCTTTTAGCCAAAAATCTAACCTCCTTAGACACCGGAGAGTTCACACTGGAGAGAGGCCTTATGAATGTAGTAATTGTGGGAAATCCTTTACCCGCAAATCTGACCTCATTCAACACCAGAGAATTCATACTGGCACAAGTCCTTATGAATGCCATGAATGTGGAAAATCCTTTAGACAATGGTCTGGCCTTGTTCAACACGGGAGAGTTCATTCTGGGGAAAAGCCCTATGAGTGCAGTGAATGCAGGAAATCGTTTAGAGGACGCTCTGGCCTTATTCAACACCAGAAAGTTCATTCTGGAGAAAAGCCTTATGAGTGTGGGGTGTGTGGGAAGTCCTTTAAACAAAGCTCTAGCCTTTTCCGACACCAGAGAGTTCACACTGGAGAGAGACCTTATGAGTGCATTGAATGTGGGAAATCTTTTACCCAGAAATCTTACATCATTGAACACCAGAGAGTTCATACTGGCACAAGACCTTATGAGTGCAGTGAATGTGGGAAATCATATAGGCATCGCTCTGGCCTTATTCAACACCAGAGAGTTCATTCTGGAGAAAAGCCTTATGAGTGTGGGGAATGTGGGAAGTCCTTTAGACAAAGCTCTACCCTGAATCAACATCTGAGAGGTCATACTGGTGAAAGGTGTTATGAGTGCAGTGAATGTTGGAAGCCCTTTACTTACAAATCTGACCTCGCTGAACACCAGAGATTTCACACTGGAAGAAAGGCCTTATGAGTATAGTGAATGTGGCAAATCTTTTAGCCAGAAATCTAACTTCTTTAGACGTCAGTGAGTTCACAATGGAGAGAGGCTGTGTGAGTGCAGTGAATGTGGAAAATCTTTTACCTGCAATTATGACCTTTTTAGATATGGGAGAGTTTGTACTGACACAAGACCTCATGAGTGTGGGGAATATGGGAAATCTTTTTGCTAAAGTGCTAGCCGTGTTCAACTCCAGAGAGTTCACACTGGAGAAAGGCTGTATGAGTGCATTCAGTGTGGGAATTGCTTTACCCACAAATCTGACCCCATTAGTCACCAGAGAGTTCAAGCTGAAGAAAAGCCTTAAATGTGCCGGGAATGTTTTCTTTCTTCACTTCATGTAGTAACACTGGAGGGGACTCTGTGTGAGAGACATTTACCTGAATGTAAACCTCTTTTATCCAAACATACACTATGCAAGATTTCTCATGAGTTTCAGGAATGGCTGATAAAGTGTGATTCCCCAGGAGGAAGAAAATGAAATGTCCTTGGAGGATTAGCAGCCATGGTTAGTCATTGATTTTCGGAAGGATGAGCGTGTTAAACAGTGAAATGATCAACAAGCCAAATCTAGATTGTGGCAAATTCTAATGGACAAATGGCTTAGCAACTTCAAGTGAAGAATAAGAATTAAAAAGTGGGAAGTGGTACCTATAGATTAAAAGACTTGTAAAACACACTTAATTGCCTAAGGATAAATTTTGCATCCAGATTGCAATCAACCTGCATCAAATAACAACTACACCTGACAGAATTCAGCACTTAGAACAATTGATCATAAGTTTGATTTTATGTGACAAAGCTATTGGAGTTAAATATGAGTCTTTACATTTTAGTAACATTCTGAAGGGATTATGTGTGAAATCACACGATGTCTGGGATTATAAATAAGATCAACCACTAAGTGCCTGAGGGTAGATGAAACAAGAATGACCGTAAGTTAATAAATACCGACAGTAATGACTATCAGTCTTCACTTTTTATATACTTGAAAGTAGTCATTGCAAAGGGTAGAGTATGTCCTGTTATGAGTCGTTTCATATTGTGAGAAGGATAAATTTAAAAGCGCGGGAGGAAACTTTTAGTATTAATAGTCTAAACCTCTAAACATTAAAATGTGTATTTTAAATATGAGCAGTTTGTCAGTTATGTCTGAATTAAACAGTTTAAAACAAATATGGAAAACTTGTCACTCATCTTTTTATCCTTTTCATCTTAATAGATATTACTCTTTTCTTTGTGTGTGTGGCCATTTTATTTGATCTGATATACAAAATCCTTCAGAGGTTCTCAGGATGCTTGGTGGGTTTAAAATAGAAACAGTATTAACCATAGAAAGTTGGAACAGGAAAAAGCCTTAGATGTCACTAGGCCCCTTGTTCTTCTCTTACAGAGAAGTTGGTTAGGGCCCGGGAAGGGGAAATGACTTGCAAAGCTAGTTACTAGCAGGATTGGAAGTAAAACCTAGGCTCACCATCCCTTGGTCCAATGTTCTGTTTTGTTTCATATTTACATTGTAAATTTTTTTATTTAAAGACTTTAGTGCAGTTTTAGGTTCATAGCAAAATTAAGAGGAAGGTAGAGATTTCCTATGTACCCCACACATGCATTGCCTCCTCCATTATCACATCCCCCAGCAGAGTAATACCTTTGTTGCAATTGATGAACCTGCATTGGCACATTATCATCACCCAGAGTCCATAGTTCATATTGGGGTTCACTCTTGGTGTACATTCTGGGTTTGAATGAATTTATAGTGATATGTATCCACCATGGTAGTATCTCAGAGTAGTTTTGCTGCCCTAAAATCCCTCTGTATTTGGCCTATTCATCCCTCTGTTGTCCGCATGTTACCTTGGAACCACCAATCTTTTTACTGTCTCCATAGTTTTGCCTTTTCCAGAATGCCATATAATTGGAATCATACAGTCTGTAGCCTTCTCAGACTGGCAGTTTTCACTTAGTGGTATGTGCTTAAGGTTCTTCCATGTATTTTCATGGTTTGATACCATGTTTCTTTTTAGAACTGAATAATATTTCATTATTTGGATGTGCCATTTATCCATTCACCTACTGAAGAGACATCTTGGTTGCTTTCAAGTTTTAGCAATTATTGTTAAAGCTGCTATAAACAATCGTGTCCTGGCTTTCGTGTGGGCATGTTTTCAATTCCTTTGGGTAAATACCAAGGAGCACAATTGCTGGATTGTATGGTAGGTATGTTTAGTTTTGTAAGAGAGTGCCCAAGTATCTTCCAAAGTGGCTGTACTATTCTCCCCAGCAATGAATGAGAGTTCCTGTTGTTCCACCTCTTCACTAGCATTTGGTGTTTTCAGTGTTCCAGATCTGGGCCATTCTAATAGGTGTGTAGTGGTATCTTGCTGGTGAGGATTTTTGCATCTATTTTCATGAGAGAGATTGATCTCAAGTGTCGTTTACTTGTAATATCTTTGGTTTGAGTGTTAGGGCAATACTAGTGTAGGGGCACTAGCCTATGTCCCCTATAGCAACCATGTGTCTTTCTGGCCCCTTTCTGGGGAGCACACCATTTGGTATTGTAACCGTTTATCTCAAGGAACGTCACTTCTTGAAGGAAAAGAGAGCCCTTCCACGTGAGCTGCTCATCCTTGGAATGCTGGTCATGCAAGGACAGTCCCTCTTGGCAAGCACATAGCTTTTGTTCCCCTGCCTATTTAAGCAGCATCCTCCCAGTTCTCGATAGTGGGTGCAGGTGCACAACTCTGTCCAACTGACTGCTCCTGGACTCCGTGTATGTGAGTCCCAATAAACCCTTATGTCTCATATACTGTCTCCACATCTTTTCTTTGGTCTCTCTGCAACCTATCCAGCACTGTTCATGCAACTGGGCATGCAGTCAGACAGTGTCTTGACATGAGTCTAGCCATGTTTGGCTGCTCCATTGACCTACAGCCACCAGCACAAAAAGAAATATAAAAGCTGCTTTCTGCGTGGTGGGATCTGGCCCTTCTCCCATGGAGATAGTTGCAATGTGTAAAAATTTCAAGGCCCTTTGGGCACTGCGGCCTGGGACAGACTGGCCATCTGTGCTGGGCTGGGACGATAGGGTAAACAATGCACGTACACAACTACTGGGCTGGGACGATAGCCAGGGGGCTCAGTGCACGTATGCCACTGATAACCATTTGTGCATGGGAACACAAAATGCTTGCTCTGTAAACTCTGTAACTGCTTATATAAACTGCTGGAAACCGAGGTCTGGTGAGAGTTCCACCTGTGGAAGGGACACCTTGCCCAGGACGTGTGATCCTTGCTCAGCCATGTCGATTGACAGGACTCTCCCGGCAGTGGGGCGTGGATGTTGTGAGTAAATGATTTATTGTGAAGTAATTGATCTGATGTGTTCTCTTTTCAGTCAACCTGGTGTTTCTCTTTCCGGTTGATTTGTGTCATTTCCCTTCAGTCGATCTGGTGTTTCCCTTTCAGATCGATCTGATGTTTTTCCCTCTTATTATATGACCTATTCGAATCTGCTGCTATCTCAGCCGTTGTGGATGTTTTCCCTTTCCAGTCGAGCTGGTGTTTTTTCCCTCTTATTATTTGACCTATTCGGATCTGTTTGTGGACTATTGCCTTTACTATCTTCTATATAATAAAATATACCTTCAGTCCATTTGTTTGGAGTGGAAAGTTTCTTTTACGTCTACGATAAAATCCCCGAACCTCTCATAACAGACAGCTAGTCTCTTAGAACAAGTTAGGAAATTATTCCCTCTGCTTCTATGCTCTGAAAGAGAGTGTAAAGAAGTGGTATAATTTCTTCCTTAAATGGTTAGTAAAATACACCAATGAACCCATTTGAGTCTGATGCTTTCTGTTTTGGAAGGTCATTAATTATTGATTCAGTTTCTTCTGTTCCTTTATCTCTTCTTGAGTTCTTCCTATTACTCATCACTTATAGCTTTTGTAATTGTCTCACATTTCTTGGGTATCTTTTGTTTTTTGAGACTTCTTTTTTCCCCCCCAGTTTTGGAGGTTTCTATTGAGAGATCTTCGAGTCAGATTCTTTTCTTATCTGTGTCCAGTCTACTGATAAGCCCATCAAAAGCATTCTTCATTTCTGTCACAGATTTCTTATTTCTAGCATTTCTTTTTGCGTGTGTTTTAGAATTTCCATCTCAATTTCTCTTGCCCATCTGTTCTTGTGTGCTGTCTGCTTTATCCAGTAGAACCCTTAGCATATTAATCACAATTGTTTGAAATTCCTGGTCTCATAATTCCACATCCTTGCCTTGGTTCTAATGCTTGCTCTGTCTCTGAATTTTTTAAATTTAATTTTATTATGCCTTGTAATTTTTTTTCTTGATAGCTAGGCGTGATGTACTGGGTAAAAGAAACTGCTGTAAATAAGTCTTTTGTTATGGGGTGTTGAGGTGTGGGGAGAGGAGAAGTTTTAGATAATTCTATGATTTGGTCTCGGTCTTTGTGTGTGTGTGTGTTTTGATTTCATCATTAACCTATGAGTTCTTAGGGGTATATTTTAAAGTTTCCAAGCTTATAAAGTTTTGTTTGTAGTTAAAAATTTCATTTTTTTATTTAAAATTTTTTTATTGACATATAACACGTGTCAGTCTTTTAGTGAGTTTGTGCTTCTGAACTGTGAACTTCACACATGCCTTTCAGTTCCCCCTCCACCTTAGGTGGGATGGGATGGCTAGAATGGGCTGGAGTTGGTTGGATTTTGTTCCCTTCTCTCATGAAGACTAGAGCTGACTGGAGTTTGCGTATTTTCCTTCGCACACTCAGGCTCTGATAAAACCTGAGCAAGTTAGGCTTTGCTTAAATAGTTTCTCCTGGGGGTAGACTTGGTACAGAACGGAAGGCTTTGGCATATTTGAAAATAGTTTTCTTTTCCTTTTCTCCTGCTAGAGATATGATTGATTTTTTCTCTGATAATCACTGGGAGAAACAGGTAGATCTCTACAGAGTAAAACTCAATGAAAGTGTGGGGCTCTCCCCATAACTGAGTTCCCCTGAAGTTTTCATTTCCTG